TGATGGTGATGGTGATGATGATGGTGATGATGATGGTGATAGCTATCATTGGTGGGTCAAGTACTATGTTAACTACTTTGTGGATGTCCTGTCATTAGATCCCCTATTTAATGGGCATGACTAGCCCCATTCCATAGATGAAGAAGGGAGGCTAAATAAACAATCCATTGCTCGTCGCTAGAAGAGGTACAGAACCAGGATTTAACCTTGGGTTGCCATTGCATTACCTGTAGTTCATTTTAAATGAGGGGGTCATTTTCCTCATCTGCGAAAGGCATGGCTATCCTTCAAATATTTGCCCTCTGAGGTCCTTTCTGGCCTTATAGTCCTGCATGATCTCTGTCTTCTTCACCAAGATGAGGGGAAAGTTTGGGATGAGGAGAGAAGCAACTGGAGAAGGGACACTGCATTCCAGCTGAACTTTTCATTCAGATGAAGGCAATTTGGAAATTCCAGGGCCCCTCCCTCCATGAGCAGTATGTTATCCAGGCCTGGAAACCATTTGAGAAGTGACAGAGGCCACTGGAGAATTCCAGGAGAACCAAGTCATGCAACAAAAGGAGTCCACTACAGACGACTGCAGTTCTATATTTGTCCTTTTTTCCTTCACTGGAGGCCACTAGATTTTTCCAGACAATATTTGGAAGGCTAATATCTGATTACCCCAAATCACTAACCAAAATAGACGTTGGGGTTTTGTGCATTCATTCTGACCTGATAAAGAGAGAGCATGGGCGGGGGGAGGGGGGAGGAGACACGATAACGGTTTGTCTGATTTATGGAATTCATAAGCATTTAAAGTTGTTGCTTTTAAATGTTTGCAAGAACAGTATTTACGTTGGATGGTTTTATGCTCTTTATGCTCTTTTTGGACAAGCGACGTGGACCCAACCAACACTCCTGAATTGAAGCCTGCCTCTGTGGCTCAGTTTTTCTTACAGTGATACAGGAATTAACTCTTGCCTCTCGCTGCCTCAGTGGGAGGATGAATGAACTGAACTTTAAAAACTACCGGGAAGAAAAGTATTAAGCTAAAAAATTTGCATTTTTTCCAGGGACTCCACATTCTTCTGTTCTTGCACAGCCCACATCAAGCGTGTGGGCATCTCCACCCATGCCTTCCTGTCCTCATGAAAGCTTTGCTGGAGGTGCCTGAACCTTCTGTCACCTGTGGCTCTTTGAAGAACAAAGTCCTGGCTTCCTGTTTATGTCACTGTGTCTGGAAGAAGAGGTGCCCAGACGGTTCAGTTCCTTAGGTGGCAGCCTCACAGCCGCCCTTTTCAGACACACTGCCCTTTACAGTTCTGCAGTCCACCATTGTGGGACCAGAGCATGTCGCTACAGGGGCTGCTAGGACTTTGGGGAGTGGGTGGAGAGTTTTCTTGTGACTTCCTGTAACTTCTCTCAAACAACAGTTCGCATCATAGCAAACAGCCTGCTGACGTCAGGCGGAGCTTGCCGGGCCCACTGCGTTATGCATAAAGAAGAGAGGAAAGATCTAGTGGGTCCTGTCTAGCGGTCATCGGCCCTATGTTTAAAGGCCAGACCATGGGAGTCTGAGGAAAGAACGCTTCAGCTTTAATCTTTTTTTAAAGATTTTATTTATTTATTTGAGAGACAGAAAGAGCATGAGCAGGGGGAGGTGCAGAGGGAGAAGCAGATTCTCCACTGAGCAGGGAGCTGATGCGGGGCTCAATCCCAGGACCCTGGGATCATGACCCGAGCCGAAGGCAGATGCTTAACCAACTGAGCCACCCAGGCGCCCCGCTTCAGCTTTAAATTTAAATTCCCCTCCTAAAAATGTTCTGGTTTCACTTGCCTCGGTATTCCCGCTAACATGGGCTTCATTAATCAGCCAGCAGTGTGTGGATTATCAGGGGGTCCAGTGGTCCACACATGGGCCCATTGAAGGAGCCATGGACACATAAAAGATTTGAATAGGTACTTTCCAGTCACACATACACACAACATAGACTCTCTCTCTCTCTCTCTCTCTCTCTCACACACACACACACACACGCACACGCGCACGCACGCACACACATTTTTTTTTATTGTATCTAAGAGCACATATGTCAAAGCCTCCTCAGTTATACACTGAGGAGCTATATACAAGAATGTTCATAGGAGCACTGTCTGACACACACAAACAACTAGGAAATGAGGCAAATCTCCACTGACAGGATAATGAATAACAAAAATGTGGCGTATTTCCCACACCGTATCATTATACAGCAGTGACAATGAATGAGCTTCAGCTACTTGTAACAACACGGATGAACTCAGAAACCCAGCGTTAGGTAACGAAGAGACATGTCCAAAAAGACTGCATGTAGTCCTTTTTATAAGGCTTCAAATAAGCAAAGCTTGTGTAGGCACGCACACCTGTGAGATAAAACTATTTTTTAAAAGCAGGGGAATGATAAACACAATTCCTAGGAGCAGTTTCCTCTGGGGAGTGAAACAGATCACCAGGACAGGGAGGAGAACCAAGGTCAAGGGAAATCATTGGTGATGCCGTAGCTCTGTGCTTCTGTGACATGTGGCATTATCACTTCGATCTAAGCATGTCTACATACATACATGATGTATATACATACATGATGACTTCCCTGGCTGACACGTAAATTTCAGAGTCCAAAAGCTTAGAAGTGATCTCATCCAAACCCCTAATTTTACATGTGCCAAAATAACTTCCAAACTGCAAAGGGACTTGCCCACATTTACTCAACTCTTTAGTGACTATATGGAGATCAGAACTCATGTCTTGTAACCCTGAGTCCATTATTCCTCCTTCTATTCTCACCCCCAAAATAATAATAAGTAATAATTCTAGTGATTATTAATTATAATAATTACATATAATAGGCAACATGTATATAATATATAATAATTTTGTACATATATTTTTTGCAGTGGTAAGTAAAAGCAACATTACACTGTCACGATGACAATGGATGGATTAAACGCTTCTGCTCCAGAAGAGAGGGTAAGAAATTAGAACATTGGGATCATACTCCCTGAGCAAGCAAAGTCAAGTTTCTCTCTGCCTGTGTTCTATTTCGAAGGACCAAACAAATCCTATCCATACTAAAGTGTTACATTTACCTTGACTGTGATTTGTGGCTCTTTGCTATCTTAAAACAAAATGGCAGCCCAGAAACGTACCGACAAGCATATTTTCTGTAAATAAGATTTTAATAACATTTTGAAGATGGATGTGATGTGATATATACTTGACTCCCAGGGAAGAAGGAAAAATGTGTTTTAAAAGGAAATGTCCATTTTCACCAGCAGTTTAAAGAAATTCCTGACATTCATAAAAAGAATTGGGGTGTATCACGCCTATCTATTTCACTTATTTAAAATATTTGCTTCCTTTCACCCCCAAGAAAGAATGAGAGAGAATAATTCAATTAATCTAAACCATTCTATTCAGTATGCGGGTGCCCCACGTGTCAAAAAAACCTGCCATTTTCTTGGTGGGCCTCCATTCCTATATATACACCTTTCACTGTGTGAGAATCTCATTATGCTGAGCCCGGTCCTACTTTTGAAGATCATGCATTTTATTTCCACAACATGACTGCCAGATGCTTGCTACTTACCTCCATAGCAATGATTTTTCCAGTACTAGAGAAAAACATGTATTGAAAGATGATTTGTTCGCATATTAGCCTTTATGAATGATTTAAGGACTCTTTATGGTCTGATAGTCACCAGAGCTATTCACCAACTATTTCCAGTTTTCTTCCTGGGCCCCTTGCACTTCCCTGCCCCGTTGAGGTCAGGTAAAGCCCTGTGACTTGCTCTGGTCATTGGACTATGTACAGGAGTGAGGTCCATGACATTTGGGAGGAAGCTTTTTTTTTTTTTTTAATATTTTATTTATTTGACAGAGAGAGACACAGCGAGAGAGAGAAACAAGCAGGGGGAGTGGTAGAGGGAGAAGCAGGCTTTCAGCCGAGCAGGGAGCCCGATGCGGGGCTCGATCCCAGGACCCTGGGATCATGACCTGAGCCGAAGGCAGACGCTTAATGACTGAGCCAGCAGGCGCCCCATTTGGGAGGAAGCTTTAAGACTCAGTGTAACATCTGCCATGTTCCGTTTCTCCTGAATTTGGCACCTGCAGAAACATGGATATGAAGTCTCTCTCAGACTCCCTCAGTGAAGATGGCTCACAGCAGAGTCCCCCAAAGGCAACTTGTGATGAGCTTTCCACGTGACTGAGAAGTAAACCTTGTATCAAGCCCCGAGATTTGGGAGATAGCCCACATTAAGTGATTCACAGGGAAAATTTGGATTACATCCCATTTTTGTCCACCTCACTAACTTTAGGTAAGATGTGACTCCGCTATATATCTACGCATTCTGGAAAGTATTCATTTGGACACTGTACTTTTCAGTCCACAGTTTTTCCAAAAGGAACACTGGAGACCCTCACTATGGAAGCGACGCTAGTTTAAAATGGGAACTGAAGGAGAGGCAATGACCAAGAGAAATCAGAATCCACATTTATTGATGAGAGATATATACACAAAAGTTAAAACACTTAGTGAAATATTGGATTCACAGATTGCTTCCAGTATATAAAGAATATCCAGTTATTTTACCCATGAAATGTTACAGTAATCAGTCCACAGGGTAAGAAAGCTCAAGGTCAAAACGAAAGATCTCAACTACCCCAAATGTGCGTTGCCAACAAGGCATCTCCTAGTACCATATTGAAGAAATAACCCCAAAATTAGTTGAAGTTTTTTTTTATCTTCAGTCATTAGTCTTTAAAAGCCTGTGTGCTATCGATGCTCTGGGCTACATGACTTTAGACCGATGGGGATTGTGAAGTTGAGGGAAACAATTATTCTCATCTTTCATTCTGGACACACAAGCATCTCCAGAGGAAACCCTGCCTAAAGGCTAGCTTTCTTTCAGTGGGGTTTCCATCTGGAATCTGACAGGAGTTGAAGAGGCCACGTTTTCCAAGAAAAATGTGCCTGTTCCAACATCTGTATCCCCTCACTCCAATCATTGGAGAAGCCACCAAAAATTAATGTGCTCTGTGCCCTCACAGGATCATGCAGGCTTCACGCCTTTTTGTGAGAAGAGAGGGGCACTCAGTGTCCCCAACTGCACGTGGCCATTTTTCTCTGTCCTTGCGGAGGAGGAAAGGAGTTACAGGAAATTTCGATGCTACAGCATTCCATGTAGTGACAATGAGACAGAATGTGTGTTTTAGGAGGCAAGTGTATATTTGCATTAGTTAGGTCTCGTTGTCAGTCACTCAAAACACGCACACAGAGCCTATTAGGTAGAGGTCATACGCCTTCATGTCTGTGGGATCTGTGCTTCATCAGTTGCCTTTCTGCAACCCCAAAGCTACATACTGACCATTCCTGGGCCTCTAGTGCTCTTTCTATGGACATCTGTGCAGTTTACTACCAGAACTGTGCTTCTGTGGGGCTTTGCCTACATGGCAGTTAGTTAACCTGACTCGAGAAACCAAGGGGGAAAAGGTTCTTCAGAACCTCTAAGTCATGAGAATCATGATCAGTATTTGGCAACCAGAGAGGCAGACCTTTACCTAAGGACAGGATGCTAGCTAGCATGCACATAAGCAGACTAACCTTTTGTCTCTCTGAGTCCCATCCACCAAGCAAAAGAGGGCTGTAGCTAAATGTCCTCATTCTAAACCTACCTAAGCCTAGATCATCAAAAGCTCCACAGCTGCAATCACCAGGCATTAGACGGACGTCAGATGACCTTTCACTAAGAATCGTGACACACATCCAACCCTCCCTTGCTCTGAACTGCGTATTTACAAAGATGCTAGACACCCAGACTTTCACACAATCATTGGTACAAAGGATTCATAGAGAAGTTCTGCACTGATACATACCCCTAAATCACATTTAAGAAGAGGAGAAGTGATTCACTAGTTATCTAAGAGGGAAAAGAAGGGTTTTCAAAACACCAATCGACATGTCTACTGCATTTAGATGAAGAGCCAAAAATAACATTTAAATTAAATTAAAATACATCTCTACACCAATTTCACTGAAATTACACGTAGATACCTACATTATAGCTACACAAAGTGCATAGGCACTGTTCTTCATGCGTGAACCAAGTGTCACCGTATACACACAAGAACGTCATGCTTTGAACAGCTATCTTGTACTTGAAAATCACAGATACAATCATTGCCAGTTGAGGGCACTTCTAATCTGTTTGCTTATTGAGGAACAGCTTCAAATATATACCAGTACACTTTCTATGGAGTTGACTATCTTTTTAAAACATGGCAAAAATACTAGCCCTACAACCATATCAGAAAGTGTGTTTGGCAGAAGGAAGACCCCCTTGTCTTTGCAGTGGCTACCGATTTGCCTTTTGGGGAAAATTACATAGATTGTTATTCACCTGAGGACAGAATCTACCTGGGCTTCTTCTAAACAATTTCATTGTGACTCTAAGCTCCCACCTCCAGCCCCAGTGACTAAGAGTATTGCTTCATAGCTGGTACTAATAACCTTTTTCTTAAAAATATGTGCTCAATTCACATAACAATGTGACATTTACTACCAATTTGCTTGGCAAGAATGAACTGCAACAAATCTGTCTTGATTTGCTTCCTAGCACTCACTCTCAAGCTCTGCTATTCAAGGTTTTCCTAAGCCAATTTGGACATAAATTATTGGGAAGGCAGGGGAAGTTCTGATATAGAAATGATCCCACTCTTATCACCTTATTTTTCATCTTCTTACTTCTCTGAAATTTGAACACTTAGCTGGAAAAACAAGGCTTGGTGTCAGGACTAAGGAATTAGCACCATTCCTCAAGTTTAAAAGACTAATTGCTTAAATGCATATCTTAACCAGCTAAGGGATTGAAGTGATTCCTTGTTCTTTATGGTCATTTTGTTCATTGCATTGCAAAGGACTGGATTCTTAAATTTTTCAAATGCGGTTATATGCTCAGGAAATAACTGATAGCTCTAAGTTGCTGTAGAAATGTCTTGTGCTCTAATTAGTTATAATTCTACATATGTGGTTATATAGAAAATACCGTAAGAAAATATCTGTCTGCAAAATTACAGATACTAAATAGATTAATTCAGTCTACACTGAGTTCTTTGTGATTTATGAAGAATAGATACAAACCTATAACATTATTAAAGGCTAAATCAATATTAAACATATAATATCCAGGACTATAAAAACATTTCCTCATGCTCTTTATAAATAATAACAAAGAAGCCCAGGGATTTGTTTAAAAAAGAACGTAAGATCGGGCTGGAGGAATTTGTGAGCGGGGTGCGATACTGATCACCAGGCAATGGAAGGGCAATGGATTGTCCCTGGTAATATCGGTTCTTACCAGGAAGCCAAAATATATCTGCTGGCAGCAAGATCAAATTAGATTCACAGTTTGCCAGTTCTCTCCTTAAGCCGTAGAAAACAAATAGAAAAACAATATACAAAAATCCTCACAAAAGTAGTCTTTTATATACAAATCTCTAGAACGACCAGATAATCTGATCTGTGTGTTGTTCAACATGGGAATGCAATGCTGAGGTTCCCCAGGGGGAGAAGGAAGAAGGGAGAAGTTAAGGTGATTTATGGAAAGATCTGGATGCCCAAGGTTGAGTTCCTAGTAAGGAAAATTACTCTCCTGGAGTAGTAAGTAAGCAACCAGCGGGCCAGCTTCCTGATCACACATCTCAGAGGACTCGCTGTGCGGAGGAGAAACCTCAGAGCTGTGCTAGACCAGCTTCCTCAGCTAATGTGTGTGTTTCTCTCCTACCAGAGGCAACAGCCATTTCTAGGCAGGCTGAATGGTTGCCATGGAGAGAAACAGAGCCCCAGAGGGAGCAAGGCTCTGATGGCATCATCCCCGTCTCCACAGGGAATGACGACAAGGGTCACAGTCAGCTGTTAGGTTCCAACACTCACCCAGGGATCGGGGGTGTCTCCAGAGAGACTGGAGAGCTGTGATGACCCATGCTCTGGGTCATGCGTTGACTGTGCAAAGCAGTGGGTCTGTTTCAGTAGCCAGGTTCAGTCTCGGCGCAAAAGGGCCCTGTATGACAATCAGAAGAACTTTAAAAATCTCAAAATGGGTACTTGGTCTGGAGGTAGGCAGGTGAAACCAGGCTGGACATAGGAAAAAAAAAAAAAACCATCAGTAATTATTTAGGATATAATCTGAGTGAATGAAGTAAGAATTTGTGGGCTTCTCTTGCTTGTCTATAGGTTCTTCTATGGGTCAGTGGAGAACTAGCCTTTGTCTTGCTGTCCTTGCTTCGGGTCTTCTGCACTCAAAAAACAAACAAACAAACAAAAACAATGAAGACCCTAACCCAGTCCTTTCCATCCTACATTTATGTCTTGCTTCCCCAAACCTAAAGAGCGGGGCTTCTCTGGCAATCAAGTAAATACCAAACCTATTCCATATTTAGCAGGAGTTTGGGCTCAGAGCAAGGATGAAAGCAGGGGCCCATTGCAGCAGTACCAGAAAGTGCAAGAAGGTGTCCAAAAGCCATGCTGGTGGCATGCACCTTGCAGACAGACCATGCACTTTATCTGCCCTGGAAATCCCTCAGGCATGGAAGGGTACAATGATAACCAGCACAACTCCACTCTTGTAAGGTAGAGCTTCTCTATAGCTATGATGGGATGCCCATGATAAAAACCAACCAAGACGACCATTTGAAAATGAATTCAAATATCCCTGCAGAGAAAGGACTTGGCCCAGGCTCAGCCGCTTGTGCTCGGCTGTGCATGTCTGTGTTTAAGCAGGGAGGGAAAGTATTGACAGACAGTTGCTGTTACTGTGTAAGTCTTGCACCAAATTTCCTAAGAGTGTTCAAGTTTATTTGCCAAAGACTCCCAGATTCCCGTACTGGGTTGGCAATTAGGACGGTGTGCGAAAACTGTGTGTTTTGGGGTCGGAGTGGGCTCTGTTGCTACAGTGGGAATGATCTAAGGCCCTGAGTGAGGCTCTGGACTCGCCCTACCCCTGTGGCAGCAGTTTTCTCTGAGCTGAATTGCTACTTCTACTAAGACAATGAGTTAGGCAAAAGGGCAGTTTTGTCAAAGGATGTCTGTTTGTATCCCAAAACACCAAACTACGGATTAACGTGGCCATCTTCCAAGCTTGTTGTAAAACATCAAATGAAGAGAGAGGCTTGAATTTAATATTGCCCCAAGGGGATGAAAAACAATCCAAATTGATTATTCCTTATTGTGGGCCACTCTGACTTAAAATATAAGCAAGTCATACTTTATAGTAGTAAGCCTCTTATGAAAAAAAGAAATTAAAGCAGAGATCATAATATCATGGATCCTTAGGGCTCGAAGAGAGTTTTAATCACTTAATCCAACCCCTTCACTTTGCATATGGGAAGGAATGAGGCTTGGGCATAAAGCGACTTATCTAAGTTATACAGCTAAAAGCTGGCAGAGTCTAAGTCAAATGTTTCTTGTACCCAACGGCATTATTTCTCATCCTCCCTACGTCATTATGTGAATTCACTGTGTTAGGCTATGAAATGAGATAGTATTCGATTAAGATTCCTTGTCATCTTTTCTAGAACCAACCCTTGCACTAACATGTGGTCTTTTACTAAACTGTCTCTTAAGCAGCAATGATGACAGGTGGAATGAGAAAGGAGAAGGAAGAGTGGGCAGTTGGGTTTTCCTTTTGGGAAAACCACAAGCAACTATAGCATGAGCAGCTTTGGACTCGCTTCACCTAAGGAGAACAGTCTGCCTATAGCGCCTGCCCAGGTTGGCACTCGGCCCTTATTCTAGATTTCAGCCAGAAAGTACCAGAGATACTGAGGCTGTTAATCTCTGCCAGCTAGATGTACAAAACTCTCACTTCAGAATTCCTTCGGGCTCTTTGCTTAAACTTAATCTTTAGAGGAGATATAAAGCTAAGTGAAATAAGCCCATCAGAGAGAAACAAATACCAGATGATTTCACTCATATGTGGAATTTAAGAAACAAAACAAAGGAACAAAGATAAAAAGAGGCAAATGAAAAGGCCAGACTCTTGAATATAGAGAACAAACTGCTGGTTGCCAGAGGAGAAGTGAGTGGGGGGGATGGGCAAAATAGGTGAAGGGGACAAAGTGTACACTTAGCGTGACCCTAATAGTCCAAGAGTGCGTATTACAGTAACTGAAAAAAATCTCATTGGTCCTTTTTCTTGCCTTGGAATGAATTTATTTGGAGAATAAGGAAAGCGATACCAGCAACCTAGACAACTGTATGGCCCCAAGACTCAAAAAGCAGGGAAGAAGAGCCACCTCCATTGGGTTTTAACTGCTGAGCCCTTTTGGCCATCAAGCCAAGCAAGAGCTGCAAAGACCTTCTCATCAAAAGTCTGAACCATGGAAAAATTCTCTCTGAGCATGTGTGTACTGATTTGGACTTACTGCCGTGTTTCATGGGAAACTATAGCACAGATAGATTCCTTGATTCTGACAAAAGTACAACACTGTACCATAACGTTTGCTCCTGAGAACCAAAGGAAGTGTGGTATTTGCAAAAACATGGCAGGACTGGGTTTCCTTTCAGGGAGCCAGTAGATGAGTTATCCAACTCCGGAAGGGTTTCTTGACTAGATATGCTTGCAAGTGACATACTTCCCCATGCAAGGTTGGAAATGACCTGAGGCCAGCTACTCAGTCACTGGGATTCCTGATATTTCCTACCAGGAATACATCTCCCCATAAACTGAATTTCCCCTAATCCCTTCTCAGTTTCCACCACTCTAAATCCAGGAGTGAGGCATTTGGCACCCTTTCTTTCGGCTGACCAATAGTTGCAGAGGAGAAGCTAATACTTTTCTTTTACGGGACAAGGTAACTTCCTCAGGCAATGAGACTACGGGCTGTGTTTCCACACCCAACAGGAAATAAAGAATTGAATCTGGCATCTACTTGGTTCAGATCTTATTACCTGAAGACCTTTATTGAAGATCTATATGATCTAGATGATTGCCTTGATTCTGTGATGCTCTGCACGGGAGGCACATCCTCAAAGACCTAAGGTAAAGCCTTAGCTTGAGAGATAAGCCATTCTTCCTGCTGACTGGATTTAGCTCATTGAATTGTAGTTGGTAATCAAATGGTAATTCTACTTGGGTTTCTCAAGTAGGGGCTTCTCTGGCAATCAAGTAAATACCAAACCTATTCCATATTTAGCAGGAGTTTGGGCTCAGACCAAGGATGAAAGCAGGGGCCCATTGCAGCAGTACCAGAAAGTGCAAGAAGGTGTCCAAAAGCCATGCTGGTGGGCAAAAATTATAAAGGGGAGGATGAAAGTCTGTTCAGTTGATTTTCCCTCAAAATGATTCGGATTCCTAAAAAGAGTGAATGAGTCTGTAACAAAATGGTGTTGCCAAAGCCCTGACTTACAGACCTTATGGGTTGCAGTGTATGGATCTGGCCTCTTGTGTCTGTATATAACTTATGCATCGTCAAATATTAATGAACTGTTACAAGCATTTATATCTGTGTTGAACCTATTAATATAAATCTGTGCATATAACGGAAAGATTATACGTATCTTATTTAGAAAAAGGTTCTTAGAGGTATACTCTGGATCTGTTTGTTCTGTTTATGGCACTCATGCTGGCCAAGGGAAGCCCAAATGGGCATGGCATAAGAAGAATGAATGAGACCTAAAAAAATAGAGAACACAGTCATACGTCAGCTCTACATACATCCTGGATTTTCAGGTTAGTCCTGAATTTGACAGATTATTCAGTTTAAATATGATGTGAATTTCCAGATGAAAGTGATTTCCTAAGTATGTTCTCGTGAAACGTATTACAGGTAGTCTACACCAGAAAAACCTGTTTTGTTAAGCTGCACATCTTGTTTCTTCTGAACACATTGTCCCCTTATATATTTATAGGATAACTAGGAAGACAAAGCAAAGCAGGAAGACATTGAGGCGGAGTCTTGGGAAGACGATCCCAAGACCACTCTTTTGAGAAACATGTCAGCGTGTACAAGTGCTAAGCTGGCCTTAAACAGCGAAACCCACAAACTCCTCAGTGCCTTGCCTAGATCCTTCTCTCTACCGTCAAAAAGCTCTTGGGAGCACCACTTAAAGACAATCCATAACAGTTTCACAGCTAAATCCAGGAAATGTCCCCTTGACCCACAAGATCTGCTGTAAAGGATGCATTGTCCACTACTACATTTCAGCACGTCCTTGGTGACCCAATTAACTGTCCATCTAATGAAAATGAAGACCAATAATATTTAAAAAAAAAAAAAAGGCAAAAAGCTGCTTAATACTGCTCAACAGTGATCCTTATCTAAAAATAACAAGGGTTTGAGAGACAAAAGCAATTGGAATCTTATGTCTCTTGCATGTTCCAAAGGTGTCTGGTTTGGAAGAGAAAAGTCACCAAAAATAGGTAATAAAGGGTATGTGATGCCTATATACATGACCTCTTCTCAGAGCATTTGGACCCTACGACTATTAGTGTGTACCCCAGCACCCATCTGCTGGTCTCTGATGACCACCTGACTCCTACGTGTGGACCAAGGTTCTACACGCTCCTCGCAGTCAGTCAAATGTACTTATTTCTCAGTGATTCATGTTCAAGTTACCAGCAAACTCCCAAAGCCCGCAACCTTAGGAAAATACTGTGAGTTATTCAACAGAAAATGATAGTAGAGAAACTGACAAGTTTAGTTTGCACAATCCATCATCAGGATTCACTGGGTGCCAATGGTATACAAGGCACGGTGCTAATCCACTTAGATTATTTACTCCCTCAAACCATGACAGCCTTGAAGACGCCATCTGTGAAGTTGTGAGGAGCCATCATTTGCTCCCATTTCGTGGCTCAAGGCTGCCTTGACTTTGCCATGGGAATGTCACCTTTATAGGATTTTGCACGTTTGTTTTCTGTTCCTTACTAAAGAGAAGACTGGGAAGCAGATTGGCTCTGCTTTCAACTGTGCCCCGTAAGTAGTTTTAGGTGCTTTGAGAGAATACAACAGAAAGCTTTCTACATGTTAGATCAATGACGATGTTTTGTTTTTTATCGAGAGACGGTATTAAGAGGCGCAGCCAATGTAACTGTCCTCCACGTGTGAGGAGAGTCGAATGATTCGGCCTTCTAGGTTAATGAGACTGTAACTAAAATAATTTGCTGATTAAAAAAATCTCCTTTTTTTTTTTTGTTAGAAGTCCAAAGAAGAATTTTACGGCTGAAACAAAGAAAGTAAAGCATCAATCAAATCATCTCACTTGATTTCACTATGCCAGGTGAATGCAAACCAAACACAAACGAATTTGAATATTTGAATCTGGTTAAAGTTTACATTGGTTGTGCTCTCTTACTTTTGTCAATATGTACAGCGGCCATATGCAAATTACATCCTAATCCATAATCAAATTGAGAGCAAATTATGAAATCTACTTTGAAATTTCAGTGATTATTTCCCCAGACTGGATAGGGCAGAGCAGAAACTCAGTGGGTTCCGTAATCAGCTGCCTTGAAGAACACGGTTCCCACTACCATCCTCTTTGAAATATTTAGTTGAAAGAGTATACAGAAGATAGATTCTGAGTTCCCGAAGACAGGGAATTGCTTTTAATCAACCCATGGGCAAACTCTACAAGACATTTCAAGAGAATTACGTCTAGGGGCTTCTAACAGAATCTCTTGTGCATAACAAAGCAGAAGCACAGAGAACACTTGAAGGAATCACACACTGAGTGTCTGCTCTTTATCCCAAGTCCCCGGAGTGTACCACATCGCTTTAGTCATGCCCCTGGGAAAAGAGCTTCCGAGGCTCTGCATTTAGACAGCAAAGGGAAGCTGGTAAGAATGTGTCTTCAATTCAAACTGATTCCTCCAGCAATCTCCGTTCAGACAATAATACAGGTGAGAAAATGAGGCAGTTACAAAGCATCACTTGGCAAAGACACAGCACCGCGCCTATCACTGACTCACAACAGATCCTCGAAGCCTTGGCTAGCAGATTAAGTAAACACAGAAATAGGTGCACTTTTTTTTCCTTTTTAAAGACAGCTTGTTTATATTCTCTTTTTACCATAAGATACGTTGGGGAGTTTGTTCAAAAATTTGCTGAGAGTCATATCCTTATTTTTCACGTTTCCACGGTTCTTCCTCAACTCCACAGTCGGCGGACTTTCCGTTGGCTGCCAGAGTCACCTGAAAATAATTATCATCAGCATCCAGCTAATAGGCCACAAATCTGAAAACCACCCCACGGGTTATGCGGAGGAGCACCAGATCCAAGTTACGCTACGTGACTTCCATATTAGTTTTAAATGTCATTCTTTCCCAACGGATTTGGAGCCCATCTTGCTTTTCAACACAGATTTGTAAATATTGAAAAGTCCACATTTGCCTTGGGGAGTATTGAGGAGCTAGAGATAGTTTGCTATTTGGGGGATAACGTCTACTATGCTTTTAGGGTTGTGGGCGTGTCAAACTACACACAGACCCATCATGTAAGAATACAGTCCTTAACAAAACAGTGTCCTTGTGCTACTCCCAACAACCAGAGAAAACCCCCCAGAACTCGACAGCTAGTTCTACACATGCGTGTGGAAGGTTCAGTTCCAAGGAGGCCAAGTCGGCTTATACATGCCCAATTGCAAAATCAGAAATCGTGAGGGTCTGGATACCAAATAAGCTATCCAGGCTTTAAACATGAAAAAGAAAAGAAAGGATTAAAAGCCAGAGGTCAGTGACAAGCATACCTAAATGATTTCAGTGCAGACATTTCATAATCAGGTATCACCACCAGCCTGTCTATATTAGGGCTTCCCTGGCTCTAAGTGAACTGAACCCTTACACCGAACGGGAGGTGTACCCCTCCACTTCTAAATTGTTTCCTAGCTTACCTTCCATCTGTCTGTCCTCAACGTCATGTGCAAACTTAAACCCACGACTGATATTCCACATAATGGAGAGACTGGATTTATGGAAGCATTAGGATATGGAGACATGACAAATGCAGCAATGTTTGAAAGAAATCTGACCTTCTTCTTACCCGAGTGGAAGTGAAACGCATGCATTAGGAACACATATAACATGCTAGGGACAGACAACTGAACCAGGTGCGTGAAAATAAAAGCTACTCATTCCTCCTCTGATCCCCAGCAGCCCCCATATTTTTCTAGAAAGACCATGCAACAAGCCATGACCACCCCACGTGCAGTTACTCTGATTAAAATTAAAAAGTTCAAGCATAACGTCAAACTATGATGACAAAGGAAAGAGTTTGAAAACAGAAGAGGCCAACGCGATGCCACGATGCTTGAAGTGGTTAACATTTTGACCAGAGCTGCAGCAAATTTGTTTCCCCTTCGGTGAACTGTCAGGAAAGACCACCAGGAACAAAGTGTCTGCCCGGAGAAAGCTGCCTGTTCACTCCGATCTTGAATGTGCCTGTTTGGCTTTGAGTGATGAACCAGATCAATAGCTGTGCAAAATTATAAATCACGTTGAGGTGCCTCTGGAACACCAGACAGCACCTGGGGGTGGTGCCCTGTGTTGTCATCATGGTTGAATACTGGGGCCCGTGTTTCCAAAGTGGCCGGGACAGCAGCTTTTTTTCTTTCTTTCTTTCTTTCTCTCTCTCTCTTTTTTTTTTTTTTTAGCATTTCGTTTTTTTTCTGGCTGGGTTCAAGGAAGCTGGGGCTCCACTCCCCAGTCCATCCCATCTCTCTCTCCTCCAAACACCTGGGTAATAGAAAAGCAAGAAGGAGAGGGAGCCTGGCAGGAAGCATTGATATCTCCCATCTTGGTGTTTAAAAACAGTGAGACGGAGAATGGACCCGAAGGTTTAAGCCTTATCTTTACTACAAAATTAGACATGCACTTTGCTGTCCTCCCATGCCCATTTCATGGCTTTGCAGATCATGAGCACTCAATAAACATTTGATGAATGATCAAAATATAGGAGGTCATAGGAATGAGATGGCAGTGCTCAACTAAACCCCACAAGGCACACAATAAATACTTGTTAAATAGAACATAAAGCCATTCCACAGCAATATGGACCCTTGTTGACCCAAACTAACATTTTGATGGGGAATAATCCAGCACATTTGTTTAGATGTGGGAAACACTAACTTTCCAGGAGAGTGGAATATGTGCTTTAGGTACATCTGAATTTCTAATAATTCAAAACATTTTCACTGAGTCAATTAATTTTTGCAGTTGTCTCTTGATGCGTGAGTCCTTCCTTAATTTGTACCAGAGCCTTGGCTCATCCACACATGTACCTGATATAGAGGGGATGAGCAGAAGACTGTTGCTGGTCCATTAGACTTCTGGATCTATGTTACAGTCCAGTAAAGAGAATCACTTCTATGTTACCCTTAATTGTCTGGCAGAAGCCATGGTGTATATTTGGAATGACCCAGAAGTAACCCAGGAAGAAATTAACTATTAAATGAGATCTTGTCAACAGGAGTCAAAAAGGTATCAGAAATCTGTATGGGGTACAGCTTGCCCTCAGTTGCTGCCTGGAACCATATTAGTAACCCAACCCCCGGAGTTGATTCTGCTCACCTGCCAGGGTTTCTCCAAGTTTGCTTCACTCTGGTCATGACACTCTGTCTTTGAAAATGTCAAGTTAGTTACAATGAAGGCTAGACAGAACCCATCAAGCTTGAAGACTTAGCACCCAGCAGCTTGTGAAAGAGTCCAGAACACCCATGCTTCAGGAAAGATGGTGCTGCCACTGTAGGAAATGTAGTGTCTATGGATAATTGTCCTGAAGGATAGTTATCCTTTACTTGAAATAGCTTCCCCATTCTTGGAGCAAAGTGACTACCAGTTCAAAACTCACCTTCTCACAAAAATAATTAAGAGAAAGATAGTTGCGCAAAGTTGGGTGGGCATATTTTTGACCAATATGTAATACACAGCAAGAAGGAATAGTTATGCTACGTAAATGAAGTGATTCTGGGTATTTCTCTTGATGTTTCATTCAAGGAATAGAATATTTGAAATCCAGCAAAGCCTTAGAAACCAAATTTTTCGGAAGAATGTTCAAGAAAACCAATCAAATTTGTGGAGTGGTTGGATGGGGGGATCAGAATGACTGTTTTACATCACATGGACGAACCAAGCAACTGATTGGCTCTCTCACTGTTAGACTTGATGATTTCCTGCCACGTTAGACACAGAGTTAGATGATCTGGGACGCACAGAAGCTTGGGTTACACAATCTTTCAGAGAAATAAATGTGACAATAATACATGCAGGGATTTTTGTGCTTGTCTTAGGAAACGGAGCATGCACTATTATATACAGGTCTCAATATCCATGAATGGGAAAGGTACCTTGCACTCATCTACTATGACAGAGTTGTGTGCGGCATAGACACATTGATTAGAGTTGCTTTCCCTATGGTTCTTCACGTCATCATAAATGGAATGAGTCTTGGTCATTTCAATATCTTCGTGCACTCGATGCTGGGAGTCAATGGTATCCAGCTCAGACTTGGAGAGGTGATAGACAATCCCAGCCCCAAAAGAGTCCCCCACAACATTGACTGAAGTTCTCATCCTGTCCCTGGGAACAAAGAACAGAAAACGTTTAGTGAAGAAGCAGTGACATGGAGGTCGAGAGGTCAAGGTCTAGAGCCAGAGAAACCTGGGATTGAGTTCTGGCTCTACTTTTCCCTCTTCCTGAGCTGGGGCAAGTTACTTAATCTTTACAAGCCTTGATTTCCTTGTTGGTCAATTGGAGGTAACAATCATACTTCTCTCATCAGCTTGTGTGTAAATTAAATGAGATCATGTACATAAAGGGCTTAGCAGAACGTCTGATAGATGATAAAAACCCAATAAAAAACAACAAAGAAAAAGGAGAGAAGGAAGAATTGGAGGGAAATTGTTCTCAGATCTCAGAATTAGCACCCAGGCTCCAGACACTGCGAGCTGTGTCCAACAATTCCTCTTGATTTAAACCATTCTTCAAAGACTCCAGATTACCTCCACTCATGTTACTTATTCATTCTACCTGTGAATTCTCCTGTAATAGAGAATTCATCTCTTCGTAAGGATTCATACTGACACTGCACTTCCCTCTGCACCTCACTCTTCCCCCAACACCAACATGTACATGGACACAGCTGAGGGATAAGACACACAGCCCACAATTTTCTCCCTGACCAATATGTGCAGTGACTGTGTGTCCTGGAAAAACCAGAACACTTTGTCAGGCTTTCTCTGGTAACCTAAAAAAATTAAATCTTCCAGAGTCCCTCTTGAATCAGGAAATGTCAGGAAAAACCCTTCCTCAAATCTTGTTTCCCAAGTTCTGATTTGAAAAAACCGGATGGTCCAGAACTCTCCTTCTTAGAAAGTCAGCACTGGGAAAACTAAGTTGTTAGGAGTAAGTTGTGTTCTCTTGTCCATTAGTACAAATTGGTGTGAAGAGTCCTTTTAACCATGTGTATGGGATACTCGAAGTCTGAGAGAAGGATGCTGGAAAATCAAAATCTTTTTTCTAAAAAAGAAAGAATTTAGGCAAAAATATTGCTAAGACATCTTAGTCCAGGACACTCTAGCCTTGAATTCAAAAAAATATATAAGGATATTAGAATTAGTTCAAGGCAAAGTGGAAGTCTTAATTGGTTCTTAGAACAAAGGCCTAACATAAATTCTAGTTGCTACTATTAAATCTATTTCTCATTAAAGAAATGAAGCTGCACCAGGAGGAGTCTGGCCTGTGAGCTTGTGAGCCAGCTAGCCTCTGGTTTCAAGTGGGAAGATGTTCCCCATGCAAAAATAAAGATCAGAACCCTTCAACTCTCAGGGGCATATCTCCATCTAAGAATGCTACTCTCTTCCCTTCTGCTTTGGCGAATCTGCCTCAGGGCGATAAAGTCTGTACATGAATGAAGACTGGCTCTTGAGGTCCTCCACAAAATTAGGCACCTGAAGCCGAGATTGGTAAGAAGCCCCAGTGGAAGGGGATGATGATAGTTAAGAAAAAATATGGACTCTGGAGACAGCGTGACTTGGATTCAAATGCTAGCTTTTTCTTCTACTTGTTGGACAACGCTGATCATACTTAACATTTAACTGTGAGCCTTAGTGGCCTCATCTGTAAGATCAAAATAATAAAAATGTCCACAACACTGGGTTATTGCAAAGATTAAATAAGATAACAAAGTGCTCAGCACAGAATTCTCTGAGACATTTAGCAAGAGCTCACAAAACATTAGTTATTACATGATGTGTACTTTATTACTATAAATCTTATCAAGTCAATTTAAATATGGTTTTGGCAGCAATTAGGTAGAATGCCCAAACATGCCGAGTTAAGCTACCATCTCCGCCTGAAAACATTAACCCTATTTGCAGGGCAATTCCTAGGGTCGCACTCCCAGCTAACCAGCTGATTTATTTGTCCATCACATAGCTGTGGTCTCCTTTGTTGTGTTTCAACTATACTTTCAATCCCTCCTGGCATGTGTCCTGAGCCATGCACCTAACATCCTTGACCAATTGTTAAATTCCAAAGAGCGCTCAAGTCTTCAAGAGGAATTCTGAGTACCCATTTATATCATGGCCCAGAAGGATCTACATTATTGGCAAGTAGATGGACTGAAGGCAGTGGTGGTGGAGAGGATGATGATGATGGTGATGACAATGATGATGATGGGAGCTGATATATCACATTTAATATGTATAGGAATATGCTTTACAGATATTACCTTGTTTAATCCTCTCCACAACCTATAAGAAGTATTATTATCCTACACTTAAGAAATGAAAACTCTGAAGTCTGGAGAGATTAAGTGGCTTCGTAAAGTTACACATCCTAATAAAGTCATAGAACCAAATTCGAGCACAGGCAGTGTGCCTCCAGAACCCACTGTCTGCCACATGATGCAAAGTGCCTGGGAGCCAGGCAGCTCTGATTCTGAAACTAGCTCAGCCACTTACTAACTGTATAACCTCGGTCACTTCCTCTACCAGAATTTTCCTCATGCAGGCAAAATACCTATTTTATAGGATTTCAAGAAGATAAAACGAGTTCCTGACCCATACTGAATATTCATTATATGCTGGCTCCTTTCCCTTTTGGGAATAGCTATCACTCATACCCCCATCATGTGGGCAAAAGCACAAGATACTATGCTCAAGGGTTAATGACATTTTCAGTTTAATAAATCCATTGCCACCCAAATGGGTGATATAAGTTTACAAACTCTTGTTTCCTCCACCCTTGACCTTTTCTGACATCAAATCCCAACTCTCCAGAGCAGCCACTGAACCAAGTTTTTGGAATAGAATATCTCTTCCATACCCTCAGACTTCCGTGAATTTGAAAATGAACTCTGACCAGAGGAAATAGATATCAGGCCAGGAATGAATGGAAGACGGAAATGGGCAGAATCAAAGCATCCTGATGTTTGACACCAAAATCAAGATGGGAAGGGCCCTGGACTTAGGACTAGAACCCTAACCCAGATCTTCTGACTCTCTTACCTAGAGCAAATCACCTCTCACCTGAGCATGAAATATGGAATGGGGCTAATCCTGACCTCACAGGATATTGTGAGGGTTAAATAAAATGAGAGAAATATTCAGCACACCTTAAGTACTCATTAAAGATCGCAGGAGCACATGAGCATCCAAATGGCTATGTAGAAATAAGAAGAGAACACAGACTCTAATACTTGCTGAGCTCTTTGTTAGTTCATTCATTCATACAATGAGCATCTTAGTGTGTGCAGGGCAGTATGTCCCGTGCCCTGTCAACAAAGAACAAGAAAAGGCCCTTCCTATGCTCCCTCTTCCTCCTAGAACCCACACTCTCTTTACTTGTCTGTGTCCCCCATAGAGTGAGATAAATGTTCTAATAGGAATAAGTGCTGGGTGTTATGGGATTTTGAAGGTAGGACATTTTCTCTACACTTGGGCCCCAGGAAAGACTTGAGTAGAAATATCTCAAGTTAGGTCCCAAAGATAAGTCTGAGATAATGAGCTACAGAGAAGAAATAAATAATGTGAAATTGAGGGGATAAGAGCACCTAAGAGCATTCAGGAGGCAAATGAGTGTAATGAGAGGCAGAAGGTAAGAACCGACCAAATCATGTATGGCTTTATCAGCCAAGTTCGGAAGTCAGAGCATTATCCCAAGGGTGATGAGGAGCCACTGAAGAGCAAGACCATGCTTGTTCCAGTATGAAGGATGGTCTGAAGAAGGATAAGGCTGAAAGAGCAAAATCCACTTAGTGAAGATGTGCTGGAAGGTTATGAGACAGAATTACAGGATTTGAGCACTGATTGGTTATAGAGAATAAATGAGAAAAGAGGCAAGGGTTCCTCTCAGGCTTCTGATTTGGGGAAATCAGTAGACAGTGCCACCATACGTATGGGATACGACAGGTTGGGATGAGAAAGGTTCTCGTGTCAGCTTGAACATACTGGGTCTGAGATTTGGAAGCCAGCAAAATAGAGATGTCCACAAGTGCTTGGGAATATGGACTAAAGATCAGGAGCGACGACTGGGCTGCACATAGTGAGTTAGGAGTCGACACCTAAAGCGGCGATGGGTGGCTGCCACAGGTGTGTTTGGTTCATCCTTGGAGAGAATGGAGAGTGAGAAGAGGAGACAGTCTTGTCTAGGACCCCGAGGGTGACCAACATTTAAGGAATGGGAACAGGCATAAGAGTCTGCAAAGGTGGAAGAAAAATGGAAGAGTTTGGGGGAAGCATGTTTCAAAAATAAGGTGTGGTGGACAATGCCAATTACTGCCTAGAGGTCAGGTAAGAAGAGAAAAAGTGCCCCTGGTTTTAGCGGCAGAGGGGCCACTACTGATCCAGCCAGGGCAGTTAAAAGCCAGAGACAGAGAGAGAAGCCACCTCACCAGGGATAGAAAATTGAAGGAGAAAGATTAAGTGGCGACATTATTTGTTATCAACTTATTCTAGACAGCTGACTGAGAAGGTGAAGGGAGGGAAGGGAAGATGGGGGGAGACGGGAGATAGAATTTTTGGTTTGCTGCTGAGGCCACCAGGGGAATGTCTGACCAACTCCGGGGAAGCCCAAGTCTGGCCAAAAGCAGGATATGGGAGTTTACGGTTCACATGTGGAAATTTCTCCAACAGGCAAATACTTTCATTTTGTCTCACAACCAGCCCTGACTGTTCAGGAAACCCTGCTGACCTCAAGTACTTCAAGGCTACTTGGTAAAAAGCATTTTAGAGTGCTTGGTGCTATCCTTGAGTCTGGACACTGTGTGTGAGAACTGTGAAAAGGAGACAGAGGTGAGGTTAGAATCTTTCACTGAACGGGATCCACCACAGACGTCATAGCTCTGGGGCCACCAGGAACCAAAGATGAGAGAGGGTCTTGCGTTAGTCACCCTGAGGCACCTGGTCTGGTTCCCTGGGAGAAAGGCAATTGCCAAGGTCCTCTCTCTCTCTTCTCTATCTCTTGATCTAAATCCTCTGGCAGGAGGGTGTCAGAATTGTCTGAAAGTCCCGGTTCTCATGAAATAACAGAGCCAAGGGAGCAGGGTCACCCAAAATGCATCTGGCTCCTTGTATTGG